ATAACACTAGGATCCTGAATTCGTATCTCCGATACGCAACAGACACCGATTTCCAAAGACTTCGTTGTACGCGAAAGACACTCTTGTTGACCCCGAGATCATGGTCACCGATGGTTGGAGACAGTGAGCGATATCGCTGGGTGTCGCAAACGGTGGCGCTCATGCATCTACTTATTATTCTTATAACTTCAGTCTATGTAAATGCGCTATCTTCCGCTTGAATCTGCTGTCAAAATTCTAATCATCATTCTGCTGTTTTATCCAAACGAGCAACTAAAAGACAGCAACCAAAACTGCCGCACGAAAGTGCATGGTCAACGGTTGTAAGAACTGAACTGATCCAGCTGCATGACAGTTCTCACGCTGAAAGCCCCCAGATTGACGACGCTTTATAATCTGCACTTTATTTACAGGAAAACTATTTAGTGCTATTTTGCAACGAACTTTGGCGAGTGACGACCAAGTTGTATGAGGGAATGTTACGAGTCGGAAGAACGGGCAAAGGGAGAGGGTTGGGTGCGGAAGACAAAGAGTTAAACAAAGGTTGAGATATCTGAGCAGTAGCCCACTTATCCCTATCCACCCGGATCGATGCAATGAGCAGCGCGGTCCTGATTATACTGCGCGACGACCGATGCAGTATGGAATTATTTTTGGTTGTGTATGTACTTGAGTTTGATGGACGGGTACTGCTAGGGTGTCCAGCCACAAAGCAGGAGAACGATTAGGGTTCTGGACCAAAGCGTTTAGTTCTAAAAAGAACCTAATCGCAAGGCAGCGGTTAAGGCGGATCGGAGGCCCATTAGCTTGAATCAGTTACTCCTCCAACGCGTTATACCGAGTGAGACGCCAACTCAAGTCGAACACCCATCCTAGAGGACCCAGAGACCCTACTTTGTCAGACTTCCACCCACTGATCTTCGAGGCATGATTAGATCTATGGCAGGACAAAAGTCATCCTGTGTAGCTCATTGGGTCACAAAGGTGCATAAGCCATCACGACACGTCAAGGTGCAGTCTCATCGTGATGGTCATTCTATGATGTGCCCTAATAAGTGTTTCCTGAGAAATAGGTCGTCTCACCAATCTCTTGTGCTTCCTAGATGAAATGACTCGCAGGCTGGATGAAGGTAAGAACATGGAGGTACGCTACCTTGACTTCAGTAAGGCGTTCGACTCCGTGAATCATCGCCTACTGTTGATCAAGCTGAAAGCCGGTGGCATAGAGGTACATATATCTACTTAGATATCTGACTCACTAAAGGACAACTTTCTACTTTTTAGTGGGTAGCTCCAGTTGCGATCTGAAAAACGGCATCGGAGTACCTCACGGGATCTGTATTACGGCTCATCCAATTATATTTACAAATGACCCAGCTTTGACGCTCGTCATTTAGCTTGTCTTCGCAGACGATGTGGACGTCGTGCGCATTGAAAAGAGGCGACAGGACCTGACCAGGGACATTGCAGCAGTCTTAAGATGGGGTGGGACTTGCCATTGAATGCTGGCTAAAGCCAACTGCCGTCAAGAGCCCTAAATGACATGACAGTAGGACACGAGGTAGTTCACTACGGAAGCGGCGGGGATGGAAAAAGACCTAGGAATTTTGATAACAGCTGATCCTAGATGCTGAGATCAATGTGTCACAGTGGTACAGAGAGCTAGGGGGAGTTATTCACACTACGGTCACGTTACGCCGTAAACTTGAGGTATTCGTACCTCTGTATAATGCCATAGTCAGGCCCCACTTAGTATTGTGTTCCGGCATGGTCACCCTCATTCAAAAAGGATGCCGCTTGTTTAAAGCGCGTTCAACAGCTGGCAATGACAATTGTTGAGAAACAGCAGAGCAAAGGCTTCAGGACCTTGGACTACTCTATTTGGAAAAGAAAAGGTGCCCAGAAGAGATGAATGGGATAATGAACGGTTTATTTGGTGTTACACCAGAAACCCTGCTCCGGGAGGCGCTAGAG